TTTTTTTTTTTTTTTTTTTTTTTTTTTTTTTTTTTTTTATTTTTTTTGCTGCTTTGACACATAATTCACACTAGATGGCAACGTCAATCCACCAATAAAATCTTAGTAAATAAGTCGGCAGATTACATGATGTGTAAAATAAAAAAATAACAGACAATTAGTATTTAATGCCAGTAAATACATTTAAGAAACACTTTTCAACATTTCAAAATTAAGTCACATTGATTAGGTAGAGGTTCAACCAATTTCCCCCAGAACTCTATTTAAACCATAACAATCTTTGGAACCTTTCTGTGCACCAGGATTTTTTATGGCTCTTTTCATTGACTTTTAACTGGAGGTTATTATTATTATTATTATTATTGTTATTATTATTGTTATTATTATTATTATTATTTATTTATTTATATATATTTATTTATTTATTTTTTTATCCAGCAGTTAAGTCTCTGATACCAATTAGGAGTTTCCTTGGCTGTGTGTTTGGGACTATAGTACTGCAAGGAAGACATGTGTCTTGTCCTACGATTCTTACCAAATATCCCAGGTGCAATTGTTCAAGTAATCTAACAGAAATATCTGGGTGGTATCTGTAAATATCATAGGATTTCCAGAGATAAAAAGACAGAACAGAAGGGACCAGATGTTTCTGTCAGTCGGCAAGAAATGTGCACAGCTGCACATTAAGAGAACAGTTTTTTATCTAAACTGCGAAAGCAAATGTTAACCAATGCTTAGGTTATTACGCAACTAACACATTACATTTCTTAAAGACATGAGTCGGGTGTTCTTTTGAGTTTTCAGTTTAGAAGTTGTGCAATAGGTAGGTATTTTTTTCAAAAATCCTTGGCTGCCTCCTTTTGGGCACGTTTTATAACTACAAGCACATGATACAATAAAAAACAATTCATTTATTTCGTTATTTTTGCAACCTGAGGTTGTAATTTTTTACTTTTTAAGAAAATAAATTGAAGCCACAATATAAAATATTTCAAGTTATCCATCCATCCATCCATCCATTATCTTACACGCTTGTCCCAATTGGGGTCGCGAGGGGTGCTGGTGCCTATCTCCAGCAGTCAATGGGCATGAGGCGGGGTACACCCTGGACAGGTCGCCAGTCCATCGCAGGGCTATTTCAAGTTAATGAAAACAATAAAATTTTTGCAGAGCTTAGTTTTATGGTATCAAATGGGTGTTTGTTAATCATCTAAAGGAGGAACACAACATTTAGAAAAATACTTAAGAGGCAGCATTGTGTATCTTTTAACAAATTAACTGGGGACATGAACCTTAAGCAAAGTCGGCTTGTGTTATAAGTAGGCTTTGCAATTACCTATTCCCCATTTGCTGAAATTGAATACTGACAGGAAAAACAGATAAATGTGCTAGTTGTGCATTGGAAAACTATACAGACTTTTGTAACATGATAATTACGTTTAAATAATTAAGGCTAACTTATAAGTTGTGCAAAGTGTTTAAGCTAAAGTCCTGATCAGGGCTTCATATAATCAGGAAAACTCTTAGTTTCATCACAAAAAACTCTTATATCAGGAAGGTCACTCCTGAAAGTATGTAGGATCAACTGTACTTTTTTTAATATCCAAATTATATATAGCTATATAATTAAAATTATATATGTAAAAACAGATTTATATATAAATCCAAGTGCTCAAAAGATATAAACATCTGCTTTATTGCCCAACAGATTTCGCCTCTACTTTCTTTTCTATATTTTATAACTTAATTCATCTGCATCACAGTTTCCCAAGGAGTCCAAAGGTAATGTCTGCAAACAATTTTTATTTTACTATCAAACCAAAGTGTCAGCATGGGACCACACTGACTTCCTCACCTTTTCAGATCAGCTTCTTTTCTTTTTTAGACAAAAAAAAAACTCTTTGAAAGTTGGTTGAATATCTTTTATTGGCTTCAAGCACATTTAAAAATAAAAATGAAAGAAAAAAACTAATAACTCTTCCAATGGTGTAGATTTCACATCTTTTAGCAACTGTCAACATTTTATTGTTCCACTGTGGTGTTACTACTGATGCACAATACAAAAAATTACCAAATGAGAAAGGATCAGCTCCTCTTTGGTTTGCAGCGTGGAGTTAAAAGAGTTAAAAGCTCTACATTCATAGTCTGAGGTGCAGCTTTGTGACAAAACCAGCTACACAATTAAGGGGGGGAGGAAATGCCTTTAAGATGAAATCCCTGGACTTTAGAGACGAGAAGAATCAGAGCAAAGGATTCTTTACGCCTCAGGACATTCAGCTGTGATAAAAACAAAAAGACACCAGTAAACAAAAGAATCTAAAAGCACTCATGGATTCAGTTTCTTTCTTTGTATGGTGATGAGTAACCTACCGTTCTTTGGCAGCATAACTATGTTTTCATCAAGGATGCCTGTGTCCTTAGAGAACTGCGTGAATTTCTGCTGCAGGTCAGCGTTGACGTCACTACTGCGGGCTACAGGTGAAATAGCAATTATGTTTTGTCTCAAAGGAATTCCTAGTTATGTCTTTTTAACAGGCCTGACCCTTCCTGGTGAGTAAAACTTACTGTAGAGCTTGTTGAGAACCTCTGACACACCTTCCTTTGTCTTGATAGTGTGGACCACGGCATAGTCATCATACACAACATCAACAAAGCGCATGTCGTTGTCGTTGTTCCAGGCTGAAAGGAGAAAAACATATTAAAACTTAGGATGAGTGCG